GTAAATAATGCTGCAATGAACAGAATACATGTGAGTGTATCTTCAAATTAATGTTTTTGTGTTCTTAGGATAGATACCAGGAAGTGAAATTACTGGGTCAAATGGGAATTCTATTTTTAATTTTTTGGAGAAATCTCCGTAATGTTTTCTATAAAGACTGAATATGAGAATATTCTCACCAACAGTGAATGAGTATCCTTTACACACCATGTCCCAACCAATAAAGCTATTTCTAGTCTTTCTGATATATGCCTTTCTGGTGATATATCATTATTATTTTGATTCAATGGGGCTGGAGCGATAGCACAGCAGTAGGGCGTTTGCCTTGCATGCAGCCAACATGGCCGACCCGAGTTCGATTCCTCCGCCCCTCTCAGAGAGCCCGGCAAGCTATCGAGAGTATCTCGCCCGCACGGCAGAGCCTGGCAAGCTCCCCGTGACGTATTCGATATGCCAAACACAGTAACAACAAAGTCTCCAATGGAGGCATTACTGGGCCCACTCGAGCAAATAGACGAACAACGGGAGGGCCTTTACCTTTACCTATTTTGATTCAATTTGCATTTCTTTGGTAGTAAGTGATGAAGAACAGTTTTTCATGTCTGTCTTATTTTTGTTGTTGTTTATTTTTATTGGGGGGGGACTATTCTGAGTAGTATATGGACTTACTCCTGACTTTACACTCAGGAATCACTTCTGGTGATGCTTTCTTAGTAGGGGTCAAATGAGATGCTGGGGATTGAACCTAGTTCAGCAACATGCAAGGCAAGTACTATCCACTGTACTGTTTCTCTGGCCATTGCATCATGTCTTCTTAAAGAAATATCTGTTCAGCCTCTTTTTGCTGAATTTTCCGTCAGTCTTGGGATGTTCATTATTTTGTTATTCTGAGTCCTAGGAGTATGTTTTATATCTTGGATATTAGTTCTTTGTCAGATGTTTGGAATGTACATATTTTCTCCATTCATTATGGTGTCCTTTTATGTTAACTAATGATACTTTCCCACAAAGCAATTCTATTTGGTTTCTCTCGCTCCTATTTTTCTTTCTTTGCCAGTGGGATTAATTCATTATTATTTCTTTGAGGCACCAGAGTAATAGAACAGTGGGTAGAATGTATGCTTTGCTCTATCTGTGGCATCCTATATGGTACCCCGGGCACTGCCAGAAGTAATTCCTGAGTTCACAGTTAGGAGTAACCACTGAGCATCGACAGGTGTTACCCAAAAAGCCAAAAAATAAAAGATTTCTTTGAGAACAGAATCACAAAGATTGCTGCCTATTTTTCCTATGTGTATTTCATGAATTCGATATACTTTCCAGGTCTTTAGTTCATTTTAAATTAATCTTTGTCTGTGTATGAGCTACAGTGTTCTAGTTTCTTTCTTCTATTTTTTTACAAGTAACTGTCCAGTTTTCTCAGCACTATTTGTCTAAGAGACTCCCTCCCGCCCCACTAATAAGCACCTTTATTTCATACTTCAGAGGGTTTACTTCTGGGCTCTCAATACTTTATGAATAATAAGAGTTTAAGAGTCTGCTTTTTTTACCCACTACTAAGCTGCTTTGATTAGTATAGCGTATAGTAATTTTTTAAATTATATATGTTACCTACCATCTTCTTTTTTTCAATTGTTTTAGTTATTTGAGGAGTTTTATGCTTTTAGTAATTTCTTTTTCTGTGTATTTTCAGAATACCATTAGAGTTTTGATAGGGATTACACTGACTACATCCATATAATGTTTTGGGTCATATGAATAGTTTAGCTATTTTAATTCTTCAAATTCATAAACACTGAATTCCTATTTACTTCTTTAGTCTTCTGTTTCTTATAATAACAGTTTTCAAATATCTTTCACCTCCTAGGTATGTGATGTATTTGAACAAAATTTTAAATATGAAAATAGCTTTTTATGTTCATTTACATTATAAAATATGTCATACCTTTTGGGTTTATGGGGGAGGCATAACCTGTGATGCTCAATACTTACTCTGGCTCTGTGTTCATGGGTCACTCCTAGCAGTCCTCAGGGGCGCCCAAGTGAGTAGACAGGGATAGAACCTGTATTGGCCATTTGCCAAGCAAGGGTCCTATCTAACTGTACTACCTCTCCAATCCTACTATAACATATCTTTGAATGTTGATTTTATTGCCTGCTATTTCACTGTTACTGATTTATTTCTAAAAGTTTTTGAGTGGAATCTTTAGTTTTTAATATATATTTTTTCTATATATTATTCTTTTATACACAAATAGTGATAGTTTATCCATATGTACTCTGAAAGGACTGGTTTTATCACCCCTTATTCTTAGGAGACCCCCCTATTTCCTACTACAGCTTCCCAGAATATTTATTAAATTGTCTATATACCTGCTTGTCATGTTTTCTAAACTAACCTGTATCCTCTATGAGAAAGAAACTGTATCTTTTCTCTTTGTATAAATAAGTTGATACTTATATAATCCTTAAAATTGACTAGGAATTTTTTGAAGGCAACATTTCACATGATATAGATATCTAATTTACAGGTCTATCAGTTAAATTAATTTATCCCTTTCTTTTTCTGATGCTACTGTTTCTGCAGTGACCAGGTTCACACACACTTCATGCTTGCCAAGGACTAAACACTTTAACTTACATAGTTGTGCTGTACTGGAGACTGCATATATGGTTATGGTACCACTGATCAAAACAGCAGAACTGCTGCAATCACAGTCAGGCCTATGGGGCCATTCCAGTGATTGAACTCTTGACCTCATTGGCCTCATACTTGTAGGACTGTAATCTTGAACTGTTTCCATGCTCCCAAGAATTTTGTTTAGGGGACTGCAGAGATAGTAGAACAGGTAGGACACTTGCTTTGCACATGGCTGACCCAGGTTCAATCCCCAGCACCACATATGGTCCCTTTTAGCACTGGCAGGAGTTATTGCTAAGTGCAGAGCCAGGAATAACACTCCTGAGCATTGCCAGGTGTGTCAAAAACAAAACAAAAAAATCAATTTTGGATTTTTTGTTTGTTCAGGGGCCTCTCCTGGTGATACTCAGGGGTTATTCCTGGCTCTCTACACTTAGAAATCACTCCCGGTTGGTGCTCTGGGGACCATATGGATGCCAGGGATCAAACCCAGGTCAATCAATGCAAGTCAAGTGCCCTACATGCTGTACTATTGCTTCAGCTGCCGAGAATTTTATTTTTGAATGAATGAATTTTGTTTAGTATATGATAAAATATTTTTTGCATGAGAACTTAATTGTGCATTTTAAATTCTTTAAACAATGTTTATTAACTCTATCCTCTTTGCTTTGTTTTTTATAACACTGGGTACCATCTGACTAACTAGAATAAAAGTTCTTCGAGGGCAGCTGCACTTGTCTTCTTTGTATTTTCTAGTATTCTAGCTCAATAGCACAGTGATAGGGCATTTGCCTTGTGCGCGGCCAGCATGGACGAGCCAGGTTCGATTCTTCCGTCCCTCTTGAAGAGCCGGGCAAGCTGCCAAGAGTATCTTGCCCACACGGCAAAGCCTGGCAAGCTCCCCATGACGTATTCGATATGCCAAACACAGTAACAACAAGTCTCACAATGGAGATGTTACTGGGCCCGCTCGAGCAAATTGATGAACAACGGGAGGACAGTGCTACAGTGCTAGCTCGTTCATTTGTTCAGTGAATTATTGAATAAATGAAATAACCTTTCCCTGACATCTTGGAATTCATTCATTGAAATTTATTTGTTTGATAAACCATGTAGTTCAGCAAACCTTTATTGTCTATGATATGCATATGCTAAGCACTGAAGATATAGAAACAAGTTATAATGTGATTTGGGGGTCTTGCTTAATTAACTTAAAAATATTTGCTCTTATAATTAATTTAAGAGTTACTATATTATATGAAATGTCAAAGCCTTTGAACAGTTAGGGGACAGACCCCTGCAAGGAGTGATCTCTGAACACAGAGCCAGGAGTGCCACTGGGTGTGTGACCCTCCCACCACCACCACCAAATAAACTTTAAACTGTTAAACCTGACTTCTATTAAATAATACTGAGGTGTTTTTATACTTATTCTTTGTGTCACTAATTTTAAGTATTCAGATATAATTGGTCACACCCTATTGGAATTCAATGTGGATCATAGCATTTTTACTCAATCTGTTTCTCATTATCTTTATAGCTTAACAAAGGTCAGGTGTTTTTCCAAAGATAATAAATATGATGCAGAGTCTAGTGTTTTTCTATGTACATTATTTATACTATAGTGGTGATTTTCAGGCAGTGTTATATTGATCCATCAAGGGTTTTGTTTAGTATATTGCCAGAAGCAGACACTCGCAAAATTTCTTCTTTAAGATGGTGTTATTTTTGAAACATGAATCGTGTTTTCAATTCTTCATATGCTGAGAACTTCTGGTTAACATTAGTAGTTAAGATTTATGTTCAAATTTGGAGAAATACTGTGTCTTTTTATATACTTTTGTTTTAAATACATCGAGTTTAAAGTTGACACCTGAGTAGATTATAACTAATTTTCATAAAGTTGCATATGTAAAAAAGTGACAAGAAAGGAGATGAAATTTTTATATTGTTTCTATTTCCAAAATTCAGAGACTAAACTGTAATGAATGTTTTATGTGAAATCTGTATCCCTTTTCCGTAATTGATTTTTCCATTCAGTAGGATATTAACAAATCTGGTGATTTTTATTAAACTATATCATCATAGTTTCTCAAGTTAACGGATTTGAAACATGGAAATATTTTTAATTTTATTCCTATTTTAGTAAAAGGCATTTCTTTTCTTTACAGGGATAAAGGATTTTGGCTAATTTTCTGTATCAAGATAGTTTTTGTTTATTTTTTGTGTTATTACCAGTTGTCTTTTTTCCTCATTATTGATTGTCTTGTCCCAGGCTCTTCTGATATTGAAGAAAGTAAAATATTTGTATTTTTGGTACATAGAACACATATTAAACATTTGGCTTTTTCTTTTGTAGGATGAAGTGGCACACACTCTAACTGAAAGCAGAGTATTAAAGAACACTAGACATCCTTTTTTAACAGTAAGTGACTGGAGGACAGATGTTACGATCATAGCATTTTAAATCTGAGAAAATTTTATTTCTGGGAAAAAGCTATAAAAATGTCATTTTAACTAACCTTCATGCACGTATACCATTTTCTTTGTGGAAAGAATTTTTGGGGGTCTTAATTGGAATATAGGGTTGCATATCTTTATAATATCTTTCATTACATGCATTTATTACTTTCATGAGACTTCTCAAGTGAATCTCACTGCCTTTAGAAAACAGAATCCTGACTTGTAAATAGATCTTCAGTGACATTTTAAGAAGACCACTGAGAAAATGGTAGACTTGTAAAAGATATATTTAATATTAAATGTAAATATTAAATATACAAAGACTAGTACTTCTCTCAGTTAATAAGGAGAAAGATAAATTAAGGAGAATTTCCTTCACATGTGAAATGTAGAAATCTTTACTTAATTGTTTTTATAGAATTGGACCTTATTTTAGGAATAGAGTACTTTAAAATGTATACGAATCCTGAAAACACTGAATTAAAGATAGGATGTTTTATTTACTAGACTTAGAATAATGTGTATCACCTAATTTTAGACAGACTCTTTTGTTCTGTTCTTGAATTGTCTATATAGATGCAAAGTTTGAAAATATATCCAGTTACAGCAAAGTACGTTAAGATTAATGTGAAAACCATTCTATCAAAAGGGAACATTTTAAAGATTTAGTCTTGTGTGAAATAGAAATTTTCAAAGTATTACCAGATACCTAGACTAACTTTGTCATCTCATTGTGTGTATTGTTCAGTGTAATAAGACAATTCTAAAGTTTTTGTATTTTCACAGCCTATAAAATTTATATGAACCAATACACTGTTGTATGCGCCCAGTGTACAAAGAGTGATATTGAAACTATTAGAAACTAGACTATAACTGCTTCTATAACTGTGTACCTGAAATGTTTAGTGCAGTAATTCATAGGTCTTACTTTAAGGTTATGTGGATAAGAGCTTTGGAAACCAATCAGTTGTAAATGCTGCAATAGATTGAGAAGAGTTTAGCGTTTATCACAATAATTAAATTTATTTCCTTTTAACATAAATTTTAGTTCCCCCTTAATAATATCCATTGCTGTTGATATCCATCAGTATCCATCAATCTAAACAAAATTTGTTTTATGTTTCTCAGAAACTCTAGCTATACTTCTAAGGAACAAATAGACTCTTACGAAACGATAATTCTTTTCACTTATGCTTACTGTTTCTAAGTGTTCTATTTTTGGCACCATTGTAAGAACATGGGATTATAATATAACGTTTTTTCTTTTTCATTTCAAGTCCTTGAAATATTCCTTCCAGACAAAAGACCGTTTGTGTTTTGTGATGGAATATGTAAATGGGGGAGAGGTGAGTGAAGAAGTAAATTCAGCACTTGCATTTTAGTATTTCATTATTTAAAAAATTATTTAGAATAATAGTTATAATTTAGCTACATATTAGGAATTTGTATAGATATTTCTACTATTGGGTGAATGACAACTGAATAATTCCTAATGAATTACAACAATTAACTTATTTTTTTAGAACTACCATGATATATTGGGAACCATAATCATTTTTCTTCTGTTTTTAAAACTAAAAAAATTTACTACAAATATAATTCTTTAACTTTAAACTTGAAATGTGAAAATTTACGTATTTATGATGCTTTACAAAGTTCAAATGTTTTTGTGAAACTTGTAAGAAAAATAATCACTTACCCACCTTAAACTTAGATAAACAGTCTAAGGCACATTGTGACTGTTTTCCCATATGTAGTGTTAGAGACTATGGGTGATCTGTCTTTTTTAAGAGAAACTGGGTCATATTATAAACACAGTTTACTGTTTTGGTTATTTATCTTCTCCATGTTTTGTATCAAATATAATGTTAAGAGTACTGTACTTATATTTGCATAGTGAAATTCTGAAATAAGTTTATTTCATAGTTTAATGAGTATTATAATGGCTCATATTTTAAATTATCTTCTTTTTAAAAATAAGTTAGATAATCTCTATTGAGTATTTTCTCTTAGAATTATCTATATTATAGGATATAATTTATTACAAAATATCATTCATGCATTTGGTTGAATGCATTTTAAGTTCCTAATAGGGTTGACTTAACAATTTATGTTAAGACAACATCCTTTCTATGAAGGGGTTTGTATCTTATTTTGTAAGTATAAAATTTTGTAAGATAATTTTATATATTCTATAAATTAGAATTTATATTGAAAGTACTAAGTGCTGATAAATTAAAAATGCTTTATGCATTAGCTAATATTTAGGATAGGCCTTAAATGCTCGATAATTTCAATATGGAACTGATTTGGGAAGACATTTGAGGCAGAAAGGATGATGTGAGCTGAATCACTTGTGGGTGAACATAGCGCAAGAGGAATTTAAATTAGATAATTGAACCCTAGACATTCAGAATTTGGCCCTGAAAAAGAATTCTCAGGGATATTTTTTTTTCTGAGAAAAAAATAAAGTATATTGTGGAATTGTACCTGATTCAGTTATCTTAATGTTATAATGTAGTGATGTAATAATGTTAAATAAAAGATGTTGACAGTAAGAAGTATCAAAAGTTCATTTTTTGTTGTTTGGACTCAGTGGAAATTAGCTAACACATAGTAAGCTTAAATGCAGGAGGTTTGAGGGCAGCATTACAAATTTGTTTTTGAAAAGGTTTTCCTAAAATTTCGTGGATATGTCTGTGGATATTTCACAGAATAAATAAATGATCAGAAATATGAGTGGATATTTAGAAAGCATTCATATAGTACTTATAATTTAAATTAAGGAGGTGAATATTCTTGTATAGTTTTTGTATTTTATTCTAGATATTTGTTGTCTGCTTCTAAAATTTAAGGAGATGATGGATGGTTGTCTTGCAGTCTTGCCAACAAATAGTATAATAAAGGGGAAATGAGATAAACTGCATATAAGTGTTTTGAGATGCACTCTTAAATTAGATACTTTTAATATAGGTAGACCTAGTGTAGCAATGATGACATTTGAAATCATTACTTTTCTGGGTTTTTTTTCTGTCCAAGCTCTGTAAGAGTCACACACCTTTATTACACCACTTGACACAGTCAGACTTGACAATATTTGGGGAACTATTTGACAGAATAAATCATTGAATATATAAATGAAGTCCCTCAGGGAAATTGGGTTAAAATTAATTAAGCTAGTGAAACTGGTAAATTAAGAATTGCTAAGGATTCTTTGAGCCAGAGAGATAGTACAGGAAGAAAAGTGCTATCCTGAATCCAATTCCCAGCACTGCTAAAAGTTGATCTCTGAGTGTGGAGCCAAGAGTAAACCCTAAATCCAGGTGTGGATGCCATTAAAAAAAAAACTGTTTAGTATAAGGAAAATAGACACTAATTACCCACATCATTGATTTATGAGGGGGTGGGAGGAAGGAAAGAAAATATTTTTGGAGTATCATAGAATATATTTGTAAAATATAATTTTTGAGCCTTTGTACAGTAACTGGTAGATATCATGGAATATTTAAATTATTCCTAATTTAGAGGAGAATGCCCAGATAGCTCAGTCAGTAGAGCATCAGAAACCTGGCAAGCTACCCATGATGTATTCGATATGCCAAACACAGTAACAACAAGTCTTACAATGGAGATATAACTGGGCCCGCTCAAGCAAATCAATGAACGGGAGGACAGTGCAACAGTGCAGTGCTTAGAGGAGAATGTGAAGTGTTGTTTGTGTTTGTATGTGTGTGTGTGTGTGTGTGTGTGTGTGTGTGTGTGTATGTGTGTGTGTGTATGTGATTATAAAGTATTCCTAGAGGAAGTTTTTATTCTAAACCTAAAGTGATTTTGAAGTTAAAAAATTGATGATTGTTGAAAAACTTCCCATAAAAGTAGATTCTCAGATTTCTTAGTTTCTTTAGTGTAGAAGCTGCATTTTTCTTCTGCTTTGGTATATCTCATCAGAATGTCGGTTTTTGGAATATGCTATGGATTCTTAAAAATTCACTCTTCTAAATTTATTTTTAAATTCTTTTTTATTTGTTTTGTTTGTTTTAGAACCACACCTGGCAATGCTCAGAGATTACTCCTAGCTCTGTGCTCAGGAATTACTTCTGGTGCTGCTTGGGAGACCATATAGAATGCTGGAAATTGAACCTAATTTGGCCATGTGCGAGGCAAATGCACTACCTGTTGTTATCTGTCCCCTATTCTTAAATTCTTAACTTGACCATTTCTGGGAAGGAAATAGATGATTAATATATCCTATGATAACATGTTTAATTTTAATTTTGCTTCAGCTTCACCATGCCATTTATTTTGTTCAGGAATTTATCCTACATGTAGAATACTCAAATGGTATAGAAATAACTTTAAAACAGTACTTAGGTTTTTTAAATAGAGGAGATATCACAACTCAAATTATCATCAGGGGTTACTATCTATGCTAAAAAATTATAACTCTCCAAAACTGAACCAAGAAGAAACAGAGCACCTGAACCAATGAGTTACATCAAGGAAATTGAAAACAAAGATCAGAATTCTCCCCCATATCAAAAGTCCACTCCCAGATGGGTTGGCTAGTGAGTTCTTCCCGACCTTTAAAGAAGACCTACAGGGGCTGGAGCAATAGCACAGCGGGTAGGGTGTTTGCCTTGCACATGGCCGACTCAGGGTTTGATTTTCAGCATCCCATGTGGTCCCCAAAGCACCACCAGGAGTGATTCCTGAGTGCAGAACCAGGAGTAACCACTGAGCATCACCAGGTGTGACCTAAAAAGGAAAAAAAAAAAAAAAAGACCTACATCCAGTTATTTTCAGCTCTTCCAGAAAATAAAAAAAAAAAAAAGAAACTTTACGAAGAGTGTCTATGAGGCAATCATCAAAAAGTTCATACACTATGACCAAGTGTGATTTATCCCAGGGATGCAAGGAGATTTGATACATGCAAGTCAGTCATCAACACACCATAAGAGTACCAGGAAAATAAAAATCATACCATCATACCATGTAGACACTGATAAAGCATTTGATAGGATCCAACTCCAATTTGCGATTAAAATGTTTAATAAAATGGGAAGAGTAGGAACTTTCCTCAATATATTGAAGCTGTTTACCAAAAATCCACAGTTATCATCTTAATGGAGAAAATTGAAATCCTTCTCACTAAGATCAGGCATAAGACAAGGTTTCCCACTCTCACAACGATTATTCAGTATTGTTTTGGAAGTTCTGGCCATAATAATTACGCAAAAAAAAGATATTAAGGTCATCCAAATCAGAAAAGAAGTCAACCTATCACTGTTAGCAAACATGATACTAAACTTAGAAAACCATAAATACACTACATATGTATATATATATATATATATATATATATTTTGTATATAGAAAGACTTCCTAGAAACAATAAGCTTCTACAATAATGTGGCAGGCTACAGAATCAACATGCAGAAATCTATAGTTTCCCTGTATGAAAACAACAAAAGAGAGAGATAAACAATCCCTTAACAAGTGTGCCTCAAAAAGTCAGTTACCTTGGAATCAGCATAACAGAAGAGGTGGAAGACTTATATAAAGAAAACTATATTCCACTGCTGAAAAATAAGAATACAAGAACATGGAAACATATCCCCTGTTCATGGATCAGAAAGAATAACATTGTCAAAATAACAGTCCTACACAAAGCTATACACAGATTCAATGCAGTTCCTGTTATAATATCCATGACATTTTTTAAAGAGATGGACCAAATGCTGCTGAAATTTATATGGTAGTAATCTTAGAGTGATAAACCTCCCTGGATAGCTAAAACAATCCTGGGGAGAAAAAAATGAGTCTTCTTTTAAAACCCCATTAAATGATATATAAAGTGATAGTAATAAAGACAGTGTGGTACTGGAATGAGAACATACTCTCTGACCGACCAATTGAATAGAATTGAGACCCCGTAGATAGTTCCTCATATATATGAACATTTATTATTCGATAGAGAAGCTAGGAATATAAAATGAAGCAATAAAAGTCAGTAAATGGGCCTGGTAAAACTAGACACATGTGAAAAATGTTATATTTTACTTGTAATTTTATGGTCATTGTATTTTTATTTTCTCTAATGTAACTTATCTTTTTCAAAAGATAATTTTTTTTTACAAGAGGTGTGTTTTTAAAGTTTCAAATACATGGACATTTGCATGTATCTGTTATTTATAGTTCAGTTTATCCCTGATTAAAAATATACTGTGTCTAGCTTAAATCCTTTTAAAATTAATTAAAGTGTATTTTGTTCACAATTGTATTTTGGTTCTAAATATCTACCAGTTAGCTCTCTGTTATAACATCAAACAAAATGTTAGAATATCAT